GGGGCACAGACGGGGAGACGCGGGCGGGCGGGTTGGATGAGACGAGTGTGCGTGAATGACGTCATCATCCTCAAAACACCACATCACCAAACAGGCGATGCACACGGCATGTTCTGACCAGGTGGCTGCCAGCAAGCCCCTGCTTCCAGCGCGGCGCCCCTCGCCTTCCCGTCATCTGTTGACCCACTTGCTGCGCTCCTTTGCGCTCTGTGAGGGCCTCGGGCCGCGTCCGCTGCACTCTGCCCCCCATCTTGTGCAGGTTGCGCCCCGCGAGCGTCTCCAGCTCGCCAGTGGGCTCGTGAGCATCGCGCTTTACATCGCTGGTGAGCACCAGGCTCCAGTTCTGGAGGCAGGAGCGGGGCGATTGTGAGCGGAGCAGCAGCAGCAGCAGCGGAGCGCCGCCTGCTGCGTCCAAGCGCAATGGTTGCAGCGGTTGGACCCTGAGCGCTGCCGTGGATGCAACCAATGGTGCGATCTACGCATGCCACACGCTGTTGCGGGCTATCAGCGGCCCGCCAGGCATTGCTGGGGATTGATCTCGCCACTCCAGGCACCCAGCGGCCCAGCTGCGGCGGCACGTTCAATCCCTGCTTACCGTACGGTAGTCATGCGGTACTGCTTGGAGCGGGCGTGCCCCTCGGCACCCGCCCCGAACTCCTTGCCGCCCCCTTTGTCCATGGCCCTCGCAGGGCCACAGCTGGACTTTCAGATCAAATACATGCACCTTTCACGAAAGGGTGTGTCAGAAAGTGTGCGGTGAAGCCACATCGCAAATGAGTCTCGGTTGCAAGCACTACGGTACCGTAGCGCTTGGCCGGAGAGAATTGTATACAGTAACGACTCCTCAACATTACTTGAACTCCAAAGACTGCTAGAAACCGTTTGCGACCACCGGTGAACACAGCAAATTGGTGGCCACCTGGTGGCCACTGCTGCTGCGCACGCTGTGCTGCTGCCATGTGCCTGTATGGCAGTCAAGGGATTGTAAGTCACTTCCTTGGCCTTGGCTGAGATCGACGCTCGACGTCTTCACACGCACCACATAAAATCGGCTCAACATGCTTTCACTGCGCCGCCAGCTCAGCTGGCAAGATTGACTTCTCCGAACGCGACGGACGACCCAGCTGCCATGAAGTTTACGTTTGAAGGAAAACTGTCACTTGTAGCCAGCTGCTCACGAAAGCTTGTAACATGGCATTTGCCACGACAGTTGGTCGGCCGAAATGTCACCCGTGCCACGTGTTGACCAAGCTGAGCAGCGTATTTCAGCTGCATCTCCAGTCCAGGCCACCTGGCACCACCGGACCGACATTGCACCCTGCCTTGCCGTTGCGCAGCACTTCTGTAATACCTGTTTTGCCTCTTGATAAGGAGCGCACCTCTGACCAGGCACAAGGCCTGCTCAAGGCCGATTTACAGTACACTGCACAAGTCTCGCCCTGCTTTGGGTGCTCGTTCAGTTTCGTCCAGTTTGGCTGTGTAAACCCGGCCAAGTTTTGTCAAGTTGCCGTCC